GCATGTCATGAGTAGCACGCGTTCTTAATTTTTGCTTTACGTTTTTTCATCCTTCCTCTCTCTTTTACTTGGATTTTGCATCAAGGTATAAAAACTGGTCGAAGACGACTATTAGTTCGTACAATTTGTCAAGTGGAGGCCAAGTATACTGCTCGATTCTTTCCCAGAAGGGCTAGAAAGTTATTTGTTTATTGAAAATGTTGTTTTTTTTCCCTTTCTTACCCTTAAAAAACCCATCAAATACTTATGTTGGCACAAACATTCTTCTTCTTTTGTTGAATTTCTGAAAAACCCTTAAAAAAAGAATTTCTAAAAGGGAAAATCATTCAAAACGTCCCTGACATTTTGCAAAATGACTTTTTTCGTCCCTCACTTTTAAAAGTGTAATTTTACATTTCTTACAAATTTACCTTGGTCAAATTTGGTTCCTATCTAAGTTTGCGACTAGTTTTTGGTCGGAATCCATCACATGCCGTGCACGTGATTATTTTTTAAGGGCAAAATTGTCAAATTAAATTTTACATAATCCGATTCATAGTCCCTCACATTTTACAAAATAAATTTTTTTCGTCCCTAATATTTTACAAAATGAATTGTTGCGTCTCTCTCATTTTACAAAATGAATTTTTTCATCCCTCACATTTTTGAAAATAGATTTTTTGATCCCTCATTGATCATGTGTACGAATAGCTTTTTTTTCTTTAAACCCATATATATATCTATTTGATTTCACTTGAACAGTATGAACAGTATGTAATATATCTCTATTTAATTTTACTTAAACAGGCTAATTGTAGTTGTACACATGCTATTCAACAGATATATACAGGGGTTTAAAATTAACAATTTTGTTTTAAACCCATGTATATATCTATATGATTTCATGATGTGAACATATTCAATATTTGTGGCATTTCTCTTTTGGTAATAATTTATTTATTGAGTTGTATAATAAGGCTATCTAATAAATGGATCCTAATTCGTATTCTATAGTCGTACTAATAAATTGTAGTTTAAATATAAAATTTTTACTCGCCACTTTTAAGACTAATAGTTGAATTACTTACATTGTGATTGTCTTAAAATTTGAAAGTGTTAATCACTTACTTCTTTTTGTCATACTTTTTCTTTTTTTAATCCAAATTTAATTTGATATAAATACTCGATAATGTTTAGGATTAAATATTTTCTTTGTTTTCAATTTTCAAGTAAAAGGAAACGAATATGAGTGAAAAACTAATAATTTTTTTTAAACCCATGTATATATCTATTTGATTTCACCTGAGCAATATGAATAGCATGTAATATATATCAAATAGAGATATATTACATACTATTCATACTGATGAGGTGAAATTAAATAGATATATACATGGGTTTAAAAAAAACCATTCGCACATATGATCAATGAGGGATGAAAAAATCCATTTTGAAAAATGTGAAAGATGAAAAATTCATTTTATGAAACGTGAGGGACGAAAAAATTCATTTTGTGAAATGTGGGGAACTATAAATTGAATTATGTAAAATTTAATTTCATAATTTTGCCATTAAAAAATGATCACATGCAAGGCACATGATGGATTCCGGTTAAAAATTAGTCGGAAACCTAGATAGGGATCAAATTTGACCAATGTGAATTTGTAAGGGACGTAAAATTACACTTTTAAAAGTGAGGGACGAAAAAAATAATTTTACAAAATGTAAGGGATATTTTGAACGATTTTCCCTTTCTAAAAACCCCTGTAATTTTGCTGGTTCACTTTGCCTTTGATGAAATTGGTTTACTATCAGTTAACCTTCAAATACTTATGGTTAACTATTTAGGTTAATTTTGACATTGAAAAACAAGATTAAGAGTCTTTCATACCCTTGTATAATAAGTGCATCAGCCAATGTACCCTTCCTTTACTTTGTTCTTCATTTTCTTAATCAACCATATGGACATACGACTACTTTTTTCCCTTGTTCATGGTTATCTTTATAGATCACCTTTTTCTTTTCACCTATTTGATTCTATTGTGCATTTTAACTTTCATTTTCATTTAAGGAACTTATTCATCACTGTGTATTTAAGTATTCTAATTAGTGGATTGCATTAGTTTTAGATTGAAAGTCCTGTGTTTTAATTGTGTATGTATTTTAAGTGTGTTTTTGTTCCACATAAAATATGAAGAAGACCAAGTGAACACATAAATCAAAGAAAGAACTAAGTTATTTTCTTATGAAGTCTTTGAAGAATAATCATGGTGAATGAAATCAGCATTATCTATCTAGTGTTAGTTTTGCTCATATGAACATATTTCTTAACTTACACTTTGCAGTTTTGACTTTCTATTAAATAAAAAAATGCAGTTTTAATTCCCAATTTTTAGCATTTGTATGATTTTAGTCCTTAATTTTTTGATAAAAATAAATCTGGTCCCGATTTATATTTTAATAAAAATAAATTTACAACCTATACCAATTTTGTCCTTAAAGTTTTGGCAAGAACAAAACTAGTCCCCATTGTATCCAATTTAGAGTAGATTTAGGAAATTTGAAGAATTTTTCCCGATTACTGACGTGAGTTCATGTCGTATGATGACTTAGTCAACTTACACTTTGCAAGTTTGACTTTCTATTAAATTGTCAAATCATATGATGAATCAGTTTTATAGGTGAAAACAATAACTGCAAGAACGAGTTATAAAGTGCGATGATTTAACTTTTTTAAAACAAATCATTAGGCTGGTCATTCTTCTAACTCCTGCTTGGTCAATAAAATTGGAGTTAACCAAGAACTAAAAAATTTACAGAGGAATATCTTTATTTTTTCGAGGAGGCAAACCAAAACACTATTTCTATAGCAGTAGAAATAGAATTGAATTCGGATATGCGTAATACTACTTGTACAAATAAAACCAAGTTTTCATCTCAACAAGTGTTACTGTAAACTCGTCTATCTTTATTTAGTAGATAAAACACTTAAACCTACTCCTACATAAAATCTGTATAAACAAACAAGATTTTAAAAAAATCCAAAATCTAACATGATAAATTAAGTAAAATAAACTTTTAGCACCCTTGCTTAGTCTTTCTCTTACAAATAAGCCATTTCTTTGATGGCATAAACTAATTGTATGATACCTATTGACCATTAAGGAGCCTCAAAAAATGTTTAATTGTCAATTATTTTTGGCATAATATTTTATCAATTGTTACAAGAGTGTTTTGAGAGAAAGATTATAAGTTTGAGAAATAGTAGGAGAACCAAGAAAGTGTCGAAATAAAAATGAAAAAAGTTAAAAAAGAAAGAATATTAGTCCGTGTACTAAATTGTGAAAGACATTAACACTTTTTGTCATTTTCTGGATAGAAAAGTTAATTAATATTTTGATTGTCAGTCTTTACAGCAAAGTGATTATTAATAATCTTAACGGAGAAAGCACAACTTACCACTATGTGGAGGGGTTAAGTGTAATTAATGCTTAATTATTGGACCTAAACAATATGATTGCATAAATGCAGGGTGTAACATATACTCAACTAAAGTTTTGAGCACAAAGCAAGAGTTTTTTTTTTTAAAGTATAAATGGAAGGATTCAAACTCAGAATTTTTTACTTATATTTCCTCCCCAGTCACTCAACCCAACCCCTTCCCTAACCCGCCCCAAAGCTCAAAGTAAGAGTTGATATAATCTAAGGGTTCAGAAAAAGAGTCAGTCCACTCTTAAACAAAAATAATAGCAATTCAGCAATTCTCTCACAATAAGTCCATAATTTCTCAAATATCATTTCTCCGAGCTAGACATAAAATTAAGAACCCATCATCCCAATAACAAATTTGTCTTTCAACAGTGTCGGAAGAATGCTGTGACCTTTTTTTTTTAAGAGAAAGTCCAGAGGGAATGCTTCACAAGTATGATTTGTTGGATCAACTCATGAGCTTCAGGACATAGAGGTGGTTGATATCATTATAGGCCTCATAATTGCTGGCTATCAAAGACAACTTCACATTCGATCTTGTCGGCTGTTCATTACCTCGCAAAATACCCAAATGTACTTAAAAAGCTATAGGTACATATTGACAATATTAGTTGATAACATTCTTGATTAAACCTTTTGTTTTCTCCATGAATCTAGCTCAAATTAATTATATGAAGAGGGACCAGGGGCACCAACGGTTGTTATTTGACAATCATTATGAACGGTGTAACTTTTTTTTTTTGAATAGAATATAACTGTATGTGAAATGCTTATAAAAATTTCATAACAGAGACATAATTATTATGTATGGATCCACATGAATAGTAACAGAATGTTATACCTATCTTGTAAGGATTTATAAGTAATACACTTAGAAGTTACAAAATATTTAAAAAATATTACACTGTTCAGAGACAATTGATCTAATAATCGTCCTTGCCCTACACCCTAGGAGGAGCACATGAAAATTGGTACAAAGGGCGATTTCATCCCATGTGACGACATTCTAAAATTGCCGTACATAAACAAGGTATATCTGCACAAAGATTTCTACTAAACTAATTTGTGTATCTTCTTGATAAATTCATGATCAAGTTTGTTGTCTGCCTTGGTGGTTATGATGCATCATGTTGTGAGGAAAAATATTTTAATAGACTTTTCGAGAATCCAACCTTTTAAAAATAGTATTTTGATTGTGAAATTTATATTTCTCTTTTTTTCTTTTCAACTTTATGCTCCAAATTTTAAAATTTGAATTTGAATATAAGATGCATGTGAATAAAGAAAGGGACAAGACTGGAATTACTGGCTAAAAATGGCTTTGACTATTATAACATGACAAGCATTTTAGAATATTTCAAAATGGAAAGTATAATAATTTCAATGGGATGGAGAAGTAGTTCAGACTGGCTTAAAGAATCTATATGATGAATGATATGGTTAAATCTTGATGACACAATTTACGAATGTTAGTGCATGTGTACCTAAGGATTTTCCTAGTTTACTATTTGCTTGATCGTCTTAAATTACTCATGTATAGACGATTGACATTCAAGCAGCTTGTGGAAGAAACTATGAGATTAGGCAATCTATCACCATTGTTTTCCGAACTGGGAAAAGGGATGTTAATCACAAAGGTAAAAGTACATTTCTTCCTTATTTCCTTATTACGTGATGATGGCAATCTTTCTAGAGAAGCATATAGCTTAAGAGTTGATGAAGCTCTTGACAGGATACAAAATATCCAGAGGATGGAGAGTTGTAAGTTGGCTAAGGCACATTCACACAGAATTACAGATCCAAAAAATTATGAAGATGCGTTGTGTTTCGATCCAGATAGATGGAACGTAAGTGGAAACATTATTTGTACTTCCTGGAAATTACCAGTTTCAAAATGCATATTTATCAAATTTTAGATATGTACTTACTCAGGGACAATCAAATCCTGGGACATTTTGGGCTTTTGGAGGGGGGTCAAGGTTATGTCCAGGAAATATGCTTGCTCGAATGCAGGTTGCCATTTTTATCCACCATTTTGTCTCGGGGTGCAGGTAAAATGTGTTATATGTCTATATAATTTTTTTTTTTTTTTGAAAACTAGTTTTTGTTTGAATTCTTTTCGAAATGAGAAACAAAGGTATTGTTCATTAAGCAATGTAACTTTATATTCTTAGCAGAATAATGAGACATTTTATACTGGTAAAACATTTCAGATGGGAACTAGTAATTGCTAATGCAGGGATGCGTTACCACCGACATCCAATACCAGTTGATGGGGTTGAGATAAACATAAGCAGAATCTAAATCAGAATACAGACCCTTTTTTTTTGGTTGCCCCATGCTCGTGTTTTGAAGCTTATATATAATCCAAAAAATCATCGGGAACAGAATGCACATTTACTTTTCTTTTTATCTTTAAAGTAAATGTATACGTACTTGATCACATGATACAAATGTGAGACTTCTTTTTTCCGAATACAATATTACTATGTAATGAGTTTGTTAAGATGATCGATGCACCCAAAACGGTTATCAAACGGGTGTTTAGCAAGCACTTGTTTATTTAGGCAAAAGTTGTCATTCTAATAGGAATTATCTAATGGATCCATTGTCTCTGTCTTCCAACCAAAGGCATGAAGAGGGTCCTGATACAATGATTCAAACTGGTGTTCCGAAGAAGTATTCTGATGTAGAAAATGGAAGATAGAAGTCTAAAAGAAAGTATAGAAGGAGATTGAAGGAAAAGTAGAGGCGTAGAAAATCCTACTACCCTTAGAACAGATGTACGATTCGTTTAGTTCTCTGGGCAATCATTTAAAGAGACAAAGAACATGCTTGCTCCAAAAAAAAAAATGCATACTGCAAAATTTAGATATTTTATTCCTTTAGACGGGGCTTATTTTTTTTTTGGTTGCCTGCCACGGTATCCAGGGTTTTGCCCTGACTAATCCTAAGAGGTTTTTAATACTAAGATTAGGCTTATAATAGACGGGGCTTATTGATTAGGCTTTTAATACTAAGAGGTTGGCAAATAAGAAAGGTCCGGAGGCCTCAACTCTATTAACGGGTCCAAGAATGAAGCTTTGGCCCATTACCATTTTTCATTTTTAAGCAGGAACCGAAAAAATTAAAAGACACATTCAAATAAAGACCAATTTTTGTTTGACAAAAAAAAAATAATAAAGGCCAAATTTTCAAAATAATAATAAAAAAATCATAAAAGTGGGGCCCTGTGAGATTCGTTCCTAAATTTAGTGTTCCATGGGGCGGATGTTGCTGCAGTATGTTTAGTAATCAAAGAAGAGGTGTGGAAAGTAAAGCATATGGCAAAGAAGCAGGCACGTGAAAAGGTAAAGAATATTTCAAAGAAACTGACATGTACAGATCAAGAAGGGTTATTTTTATGGATGTTGCTGCGGTATGTTTAGGAATCAGAGAAGAGGTGTGGAAAGTTGTTGCGGTATGATTGTGACCACAAATGATAGGGGAAGTGTGGATGATAGACACCTGTAAAGGGCTTCTTTACCTGCAACCTAGAGGGCTGTTGGGTGTTGGGGGATTACAACTGCAAATGTAAAATGTGGAGTGCCTAAATTAGGCAACTTCCAAAGTGAGGTGGTCGTACGCTGAAGTAAGGGCAGGGAAAAAAGGCGCGAAGCTTGGCGGATAAGCTAAACACAGTATGTATAGTAGTAAGGAAGAAGCACGAAATCGGACGAAAGCATTGAAAAGTGGGGTTCTTTTAATAAACACCGATGTGTTTATTTTGTATACTTTCCGATAAATGAAATACTCAATTTAAGAAAATTGGGTACTCCTGACCGTATGATGGACAAAAGCCATAAAGAGCTGGTCGTTTATAAGACAACGGGTTTAACTATACTTTTTTTTCCGATAAATACATTTCTATTTAAGGCACCTTGCTACTCTGTCCGTGTAACGGTCCAAAAGACATAAAGAGCTGGTCTTTTATTCAACAACGGGATTATTTTCATTTTATCTGATAAAACATTGTGTCTTTAAGGCACCTTGGGTATTATGTTGTTGTAAGAGAGGAAAGCCATAAAGAGTTGAAACTTTTAAATTGAAACACACGTTTGAATATATGAATGGGCCTCTACGGAAAATGGGTTTAATCTTTACTTATAATGGGGGAAAGCCATATAGAACTAGTTTTATTATCGAAAAATGCATTTCAATATAATGTTGTCAGATAAATAAATATTTATTTAAGGAAAATGGGTACTCCATTCTTATACTTTTTTTCGATAAATACTTTTATACATTTCTATTTATTAGTAAGAATTACTATTTATGTATAAAAGCTTACTATTATTTGAACTAAACTTACTCTTTTAAAAGTAAGTTTGGGATATAAAGTAGTAATCTACTTATTTAAAAATTAAGTTTAATATTTATTCCAATTTACCTTTTGAGATATAAAAGTTACTAATCTATTAGGCTTAACTTACTATTTTAGATAGGAAGGGTTTGTTTGGATTGCGATTTATTTGCCAAAATATATTTGCTTACATTATCATTACAATTTTCAACACACCTTTTTATCTCACATACATCACATCACAAAAAGTGCTACAGTAAAAATATCTCTAATAATTCACAATCCAAACAAACCTGTTAACAACAATATTTTGAACAAAATTACTTCCATAATTTTAGGTGTTATTCTATTTAGGTGAATAGGTCCAACAATAAATCAAATGATCGCTAAAAGTGCAACAACATGTTATATTAGGTAAAAACTATTTCGCTACCATAACTATCATTTAGTATATCTATATGTATTGCTGAGGGGGTTTTGGATAGGGAGCTTCCAAAATTGTCAAAAGTTTGAATGCTATTTTAATAGAATTTTACATTTTTATAATTAAAAAATGTTTATCTCTTAACTAATCATGTAACCGCTCCTACAAATCCTATAATGATGCTCATATTTTTCCCACATTTCCCGCACGTTTTTTTCACCACCCCGTAAAATTCAAACTCCTAAACTTTAACTAACAGATAATAACCACCCCTGTAAAATGATATCTGCAAATTTCAATTCACATATCACATTTATTACTGACACTTATCATATCATTGATAGTAATAACTAACCGTTAATATAAGAAATTCGCAACTACGAAAGTCAAATATCCAAAATTTAGTAGACTATTTAAATTACAATTTTCACAATTCAACGTATCTTATTGTCATAATATATTTTACTCTCACAATCATTCACAAATTATAAAGGGATTAAAAAATAAATAATTTTTAATAAAAAATTAATTCAAAGGTAGTTAATTCACACACACACACGCATACATATATATACATATATATATATATATATATTTTCATAATATAAACTAAAATTATAAAAAATTAGGAGGGCTAACTTTTTTTTACACAAATATTTACACAATATGAATTAAAATTTTTAAAACTTTGAAAAGAAGGGACCTATGGCCCCGATTAGCCCCTATTAGTTTGGGAGTGTTTGGAAAGCAGATTTTTTCAAATAATATTTTGCTTATATTATAAATACATTTTTCAATCCATTTTTTTTATCTCACATACATCATATCACAAAAAGTGCTATCATAATTATTTCAAATAATATTTTAAATAACACTCTATCCAAACAAATTTCAATAGCGTCTTAGTTCCAAACCTGCAAGATTACAAAAGAGAAAATAACTTATCACAAAATGAATTTTACACTATGGTGATCCCACCCAAATGTAGTTATTTCACGCACACATGTACATATATATACTTATATATTCTCATAATATAAACTAAAATTATAATAAATTTGGAGGACCAGTTTTATTTTACACAAATATTTATATAATTTAAAATTTTTAAAACTTGGGGAGGAGGGCTATGACCTCCATTAGCCCCCATTGGTTCCATTATTGATTTCAACAGCATCTTAATTTCAAACCTGTAAGATTACAAAGAAAAAAAATAACTAATCACAAAGCGAATCTCATACCATAGTGATCCCAATGAAATATTTTAAAAAGATTCAGCAAGTTCATTTCAAAAAAATACAAGTCTTGCTGAACTTTTTTTGTAGTACGAATTCTTCAAAATTCAATAGAATTAATTAAACCACCAATATTAATTTTCATACTAAAAGTTGATTGGTGTAAAAAATATTCGCACCTTTGTACAAGATTATCAAATCGAATGCATAATATTAGTAAGTATTTCATTTTAAAATCAAATAAAACATGCAATTACATTTATTTCTATCCAAATATCATTCATTTTCTAATATAAATTATTATTATCATTTTAGGATTCATCTTTCGCAAAAACACAATTCTTGAATGATTTACAGTTTTTGTCATATTTTGAACTATTGTTAGTCAAATCTTAAATTTTAATTATGTTGGTATAATTTTTTTAACTTTTTTCAAATTAAAATGGTATAATCTTTTAATTTATTTTAATAATGTAAGCACCGTACGTAGTATGGATATTCACACTAGTTGTCATTGTATGACCGAGCCTGAGAGTTTGAGCATGTTTTGGTTGAATGTTATAATTCAAAATTTGGGGTTTGGAGGGAATAGGTTATATCCATTGTAATCAAAATTCAAACAAATGTGGCAATAAGCCTGGTTATCACAACGAACTATATAAAGTGAATTTTTTTTATTTATTTGCACAATGCTACCTTATTTTTACATGCATCAGAATGGATTGATTACAAGTTGCATTTGCTTGCCTTTTGCTAGAATTTTGGCTAATTAACAAATTATACTAATTGTAGAAAAGTAAGTTTGTAATCATTTTCAATTTTTAAAAAGTTTGAAAGTTTGGATAACAAAAACAACAAATCTTCCTAGTTACATGTAGAATATCACTTGTTTCTATATCACAATTTTTATAGTTTAACACCTATGAATATAATAAGATAAAATTATTATTTTATAATACGATAAAATTTTATTATTTTCTAAGGTTATGTGAAAGGTCAAAATATTTTTCACAGAATATTTTAAAATATATAAGTACAAAAGAATATTAAATTATACAAATAATCATATATTATACAAGTATGTTACGAGTACTTACTAACTAATGTACTAAGTTTTAATCATTTATAAAATATTTTATTGTTATTTCAAATAAGCTTCCTAGTATTGATTTAGTATAAGTCATAAAGGATTGAGTGATTTGAGTCAGCTACTTCTGTGTTAATTTTGACTGTGGTTAACAAACTCAATGATTAAGGATTGAGTGATTTGAGTCAGCTACTTCTGTATTAATTTTGACTGTGG